CTATGAATATGGCTGGACAGTGTACAGTGCCTATAAAAAGTATTCACCCCCTTCAGTGTTTTACACTTTTATTGATTTTATAAATCAATCATTCATGGTCAATATAATTTGGCTTTTTTGACAAAAAAATTTACAAAAAACCTCTTTAATGTCAAAGTGAAAGCAGGTTTCTACATAGTAATGTAGTGATAAGAGCTTCCTTCAGCTTGACCATGGAGTCTCCCACATACATGCCTTTTGGTGAACTCTAGTCAAGATTTAATATAAGTCTTCTTCAACAGTGGTTTTCTCTTCGCTGCTCTCTCATAAAGCCCAGGCAACTGTTGTTGTATGCAGAGTCTCTCCCATCTCAGCTGCTGAAGCTCATAACTCCTCCAGGTGTCTTGGTGGCCTCGCTCACTAGTCTCCTTCTTGCACCGTCACTCAGTTTGTGAGTTCGACCTGATCTAGGCAGATTTAGACATTTGCCATATTCCTTCTATTTCTTCACGATGGATTTAACTGAACTCTGGGGGATGCTCAGTGCCTTGGAAATTTCTTTGTATCCATCCCGACTTATACTTTTCAATAACCTTTTCTCTGAGATGCTTGGAGTGTTCTTTTGTCTTCATGGTGTAACGGTAGCCAGGAATACTGATTAACCAGTGACTAGACCTTTCAGACACAGGTGTCTTTATACTACAATCACTTGAGACACATTCGCTGCACTCTGGTGAATTATGGCCTAATTATATTGACCATGATAGATTTATAAAATCAATAAAAGGGTAAAACATCCAAGGGGGTGAACACTTTTTATAGGCACTGTATGTCTGATCATAAATTGGCTTTTGTTTTTTGTCAGGCTAAAGAGGACCTCTCCCACAGCATACTGTGACTGCTGGGAGAAATGTAAGTGTAAAACGCTGATTGCTGGCCAGAAAGCTGCTCGTCTTGATCTGCTGTACAGGCTACTCACGACAACTAACCTGGTCACAACACCAAACAGCAGGTAAAATCCCCTGAGCTTTAAAATTAGCAGTTAACTCAGAACATATTTTGCTGTGTCACCTAAACTGTATTATAGTGACATGCTACTGTATACAGGAGTTAATACATATTGTGCAAGTGACGAAAAGCTGGTATTACTGATTTGTTTCCATCTGCAGGGGAGAGCATATATTACTGTTCTTGGTGCAGACTGTTGCCAGGCAAAGTGTTGAGCACTGTCAGTACAGACCACCACGAATCAGAGAAGACAGGAACCGCAAGGCTGCTAATACAGAAGGTAGCTTCACCATCATTTTATCCACTTTAACAATCAGTGCAGACTAGCAGTTTATACATTTCACAAACATTCATTAGAGATTGTCTGCTCTCTTCACAGTTCTGACTAGTTAATGCTTTAGCTTTTTAAGCACACTATTTCCAGAAGTCAAGTGAGGTATGAAAACATTATTCTTCCCTCTCTTTCAGACTCTGATATGCCAGATCATGATCTAGAACCTCCCCGCTTTGCTCAGCTGGCTCTGGAGAGGGTCCTGCAGGACTGGAATGCCCTCAAGTCTATGATCATGTTTGGTTCCCAGGAGAACAAAGACCCGTGAGTATCACAGCAAAACAGCACTCCCATGAGGTTACACTCTTGTGGTACCTTATTCCCAGTCACTTTCACGCAGTGCCACATTTTTTAACAGACAGGACTTTGAATTAAATATATTTTTTGTTTCCTAGACTTAGTGCCAGCAGCAGAATTGCCCACCTTCTGCCTGAAGAGCAGGTCTACTTGAACCAGCAGAGTGGCACCATTCGCTTGGACTGTTTCACTCATTGCCTCATTGTCAAGTGTGCTCCTGATATCACTGTAAGTGCATGTAGTATATCCTCATGTGCTCTGGCTCTGTATCTTATTTTGTTCCTTCAGTTTCTGTGTTCATTGTGTCCACATTTTAGTAAGTACACGGTGTAAAATCAAATCTCCATTCCTGAGTGCTTCATGAAATGATACCTCCTAAATATAACTAGTAATTATTTTTGCTGTTATCACACCTTTGCATTTGGAAGTATTTCGGTCCTCAATGGGTGTGGCTGTCCTGTGTTAGTTCATAGACACTTTACTGGGCACACTGGTGAAGGAGCTGCAGAACAAGTACACTCCTGGCCGGAGAGAGGAGGCAGTCACCGTCACCAGGAGGTTCCTACGGTCTGTAGCCCGGGTGTTTGTCATCCTCAGTGTGGAGATGGCTTCTTCCAAGAAGAAAAAGTAAGAACACACAGCATGAAGGTTTCAGAATAAAGTTTTAGATGAAGCTTGAAAAACTAATTGTAATTTGAGTTATCATTGCCCCACACTCCATACTAACACACAGTGAACCTATATACTTGGCAGCAGTGTCAGCATGATCTTTTCAACTGATACAAATACTGATTCTGTCCATATAGCAACTTCATCCCCCAGCCAATTGGAAAATGTCGTCGAGTTTTCCAGGCTCTGCTGCCCTATGCTGTGGAGGAGCTGTGTAATGTAGCGGAGTCGCTCATTGTTCCAGTGCGAATGGGTATCACAAGACCTACTGCTCCTTTCACTTTGGCCAGCACCAGCATTGATGCTGTTCAGGGCAGTGAGGAGCTCTTCTCTGTAGAACCTTTGCCTCCAAGGCCCTCACCTGACCAGTCCAGCAGGTTGGTTGGTTTTGATAAGTTCCATACATTAAGATGTGTTCATGTGCATGTTTATATATAAATGTTTACATGGAATTGGATAAGATAAAACTTTATTAATCCCACAATGGGGATATTCCCGTGCCCCAGCAGCAACAAGGAAAAAAAACAAGCACCCAAACGGCAACAAAAACACACACCACAAAAATCTATGGAAAACAAATCAACTATAATCAAGTCTAACACTTCAGATGACTATTACACAGTTCCTTAAAACTGCACCTTATATATGTGTCACTACAATGATGCATTATACAGTCTAATAGCTGTGGGGAGAAACGACCTATGATGGCGCTCCTTCCTGTACTGGGGATGCAACTGTCTTGGGCTAAAACAGCTCCTCATAGCCTCCACAGTGTGCTGCAGGGGATGGGAGGAATTATGCATGATGGATGTTAGCTTTACCAAAATCCTCCTATCTGCAACTTCCTCAATGGAATCTAGAGGGCAACCCAGGACAGAGCCAGCTCTCTTAATCAACTTGTTAAGGATGAGTCCATGTTAATGAGCTGAAGTAAAGGAATGACTTGTAGCTGTCTAAGTCAAGTTATTTGGTAGCACTGTATTTGGAGAGGAGAAACTCAAAGTAAGCAAGGTGGGGTTTTTTTCCCCTGATTCATTGGGCTGA